GCCGCGGCCCCTCGGGGAAATCCCGAGCCCGCCCCGCTCGGAAAGTATGGGGAAGGCCCACGAAAGTGGTGCGGAGGGGAAGCGTTTTTGCTAACAGCCTCAGAGAGTTTTGCTAAAGAGCAGAGCGGTGTTTGACAAAGCGCGGGCGAGTAATGCCTTTAATTACGCTCTTAGGAAAGCACAGATAAAAATGGAAATAAGGCGTCTCTCCAGGCTGACACTGCACGGAAGGGAGCGTTGCTGTGAGTACTCCTGTGGGAACCATGGGTGGGCACAGCCGCTGAGTTTGCTGAGATAACTTTCCCCGAGTCCTTATCTTCCAAGAAACACTAATATTGACTTTATATTAATTGTTGGTCTTCCTTACTTTTCTGGTCTCCGTATTTGTGGTATTTTTCGTGGGGTTTTTTTGCAGTCTGCTGTCCTGCAGGTGGGTAAAGGATTGAATGAAGTAGGTAGTGAATGCTGGTGGGAAGCAGCAGGGAGAAAGCTCCTAAAGAACTGGGAGAAATAACAAAGTTTCACAAAGTGAGGTGGTGTGTCTGGGATGGATGCTAGCACTGAGAAGTCAAAGGTTAAAGGTTCTCAAGCATTACTGTAGTGTGGACCTCCTTGTAATGCAAGCAAGTGTCATGTATGGAAAGGCAGCTCTCCTGGTCCTTTGGTATTGGCAGTAAAATAGAATCATCCCTGTAGCTAGGGTGATTATGAACATGGAGAAGCAATGCTAGGACAGTACATGCAATGGTCCTTGAGTCTTTGAATGTTACTTAGCAACTGTTAAGAAAGAGTCAGCAGGGTATGACTAGCCAGGCATCCACAGACCACCAGCAAGTGCTGCACAGGCAGAATGCAAGGTAACAATCGGGATAAACAGGCAGAATTTTTTTTTAAAGTGACTTTCTTTAAGAGAAACAAAGTCTGATTGTGACATTCTTGCTGTTTCTTCACAGCCTAGGTGAAGGGGCTGACTGAGATGCACAGCTGGTAAGTATGGCTTAGAAACAAGTAAGAGCCCTAGTAAATTTTAAAGTAAATTGTGCTAATTTTCCTTCTTGTTTCCCCCCCTCCACCTTTTGTCTTTCAGACAGTTTCTTCCCTGTTCTAGGCTTGGTGCTGTCATTGACCTCTTCGATGTACTCATAGGCAACTCACTGCCCCTTCACTGGCCCATCTAAAATGGTTTCGTGCATCCTACAGGTAAATTTTGACATAGGCAAAAGGACCTCCAGTCTTTGGAAACAGTTTGAAGAAATCTTGCCTGAATGTTTCTGAGCGTTGTTCTGCTTCTAGCTGCTCAGCATGCCTTGCCTGCTCCAGCTCTGCATGCTCTGACCATGAGCAGCAACTCCTCCTTCAGCAATGTGAAGGGCCTGAGGAACCTCACCACACAGGAAGATGGGGCAGTCAGAGTCACTGAGTCCATCGCTATCATCGTCATTGCCATTTTCATCTGTTTGGGCAACCTGGTGATTGTCGTCACTCTGTATCGGAAGTCTTACCTTCTCACGCTGAGCAACAAGTTTGTGTTCAGCCTGACCCTTTCCAACTTTTTGCTCTCTGTACTGGTGCTACCTTTTGTTGTCACCAGCTCCATCAGGCGGGAATGGATCTTCGGAGTTGTTTGGTGCAATTTCTCAGCCCTGCTCTACATGCTGATCAGCTCAGCCAGCATGCTCACTCTTGGACTTATAGCTATAGACCGGTAAGCAGCGCTTTTATAACGAAGTGTAACAAATTGCCTAGTCATCTCAGAGAGTGACTCACTGGCTGTTGAGTTGAGAAGCACTGCAGAGGGTAGCACTGTACTGTTGTAGTGTCGTTTTTCCCTCAGCCCCTCGTGAAATCTTGATGTAGAACAAGAGAAAGTGATGTCATCAGTAATGCAAAATGCAGACATGCATTTAGAGATTTTTCAAGCTGTTGATGGTACAACAACATACTGCTGGAGAAACATAAAATGATGACTTAAAATTCCAGATTATACTCTAAACACGCACTCACACGTAGGAACAGATTTAATGATTGCCTGTGTGCCTTCACTTAAAATTTTATACTGTAAGCATGCACTCACACGTAGGAACAGATTTAATGATTGCCTGTGTGCCTTCAGCCAGGTTTGACAGTCTTGACTGCAACAATACATATTTTTGCATGTAGTTGTTTTTAGAAACAAGGTCTCTGAGCCCACCTTGAGGTTTGCAGAAAACAAGAAGCAGATATCAATATCATCAAAATATGTTCTTTTCTTTATTGTAGTAAGCATGCACTCACACGTAGGAACAGATTTAATGATTGCCTGTGTGCCTTCAGCCAGGTTTGACAGTCTTGACTGCAACAATACATATTTTTGCATGTAGTTGTTTTTAGAAACAAGGTCTCTGAGCCCACCTTGAGGTTTGCAGAAAACAAGAAGCAGATATCAATATCATCAAAATATGTTCTTTTCTTTATTGTAGTCTTTTGTGCTCCTGTTGACTACTTCTTTTCTTGTTAACCAGGTACTATGCTGTCCTGTACCCGATGGTTTATCCAATGAAGATAACGGGCAACAGAGCAGTGGTGGCTCTTGTGTAATGGTTTACCCAATGAAGATAACAGGCAACAGAGCAGTGGTGGCTCTTGTGTACGTGTGGCTGCATTCCCTCATTGGCTGTCTCCCTCCCCTTTTCGGCTGGTCCTCTTTGGAGTTTGACCAATTCAAGTGGATGTGTGTGGCAGCCTGGCACAAGGAGGCTGGTTACACTGCTTTTTGGCAGATCTGGTGTGCGTTGCTGCCTTTTCTGGTCATGATGATCTGCTATGGATTCATATTCCGAGTGGCAAGGATTAAGGCCCGCAAAATCCACTGCGGTAGCGTCATCATTGTGGAGGAGGACTCACAGAGGAATGGGAGGAAGAATTCCAGCACTTCCACATCCTCTTCTGGCAGCCGAAGGAATGCTTTCCAAGGGGTTGTTTACTCAGCCAACCAGTGCAAAGCATTCATAACCATCTTGGTTGTCATTGGGGCTTTCGTGATTACATGGGGGCCTTACATGGTAGTCATTACATCGGAGGCACTTTGGGGTAAAAACAGTATTTCCCCTGCTTTGGAGACATTAGCTACATGGTTGTCCTTTTCCAGTGCCATTTGTCATCCGCTAATTTATGGACTGTGGAACAAGACAGTGCGCAAGGAACTACTAGGGATGTGCTTTGGGGATCGGTACTACCGCGAGTCCTTTGTTCAGCGGCACAGGACGTCCAGGTTATTCAGCATTTCCAATAGGATCACAGGTAAGACACAAGGCTGCAAACGACACTCTTCCTTAAAACCAGTAAGAGCAAGGCTTCATGTCTGTGTGTGCTTGGTGTGTTTCAGGGCTCTGTAAAGAAAGTGAGATGTTTCTGGAGTTTTCTTCAGTCTTTTGTTCAGGTTATCATGAACACTTAGAGCAGAATATTCTGGCAGTTAACATGTTTCTCCTACTCTAGTAAAATTGTCTCAGCCACAGAAGACACAGTGATTGGGTTAATAAAAACAATTTATTTTCTTCTTTCTCAAGTATTTCCTTTTGTGTGCCTTCCATTTGGTGTTGCCTAAATTTGAGCTTTACCAATAGTACTTTTTCCTTGATTCCTGGCTTTATGCTACAACTCTCTGAGATCCACTAAAGTTACATTGGTGTTACTGTTCTGTAAGTTCAAGCTTTTAGGTTTAATGGTTGTGAAGAAAAGGGTCATAAACAAGGTAAATTTATGTAAAAGAGTGGAACTATTTGGTGCCTCCCCAAGTTGTAGGCTGAGAGCTTCAGTTGCTCAGTGTGGTGGAGTTTCATGTGGGTTTTTTAATAGCAATGCAATGACATTCTGATTGTTGGTAATTTCCCTGGTCCTGTTCATAAGCTTCCAAAAACAGTATCTTCAAGGGGCATTTCAATGGCAGGAATTGAAGTTGTTTAATTGGGAAGGAGGATCTGAAATGCAGAAGGAAGGGGAGAGCAGCAAGCCATTTGTTATCTTTTCTGCAACCTGGGATCACTGGGAGAGGCATCTAAATGGAAGAGTTCTGCTGCTGCAGCCACAGCACAAGCTGCAGGAGCTTGGGCCAATCTGTATCCAGGAGATACGATGGATTAATATATTGGGAACCGAAGTGGGAGGAAAAAGACAGGACATTTCCTTCTCTTCCCAAACAATAAGAAGCTGCTGGCTTTATCAGGTGTATTAGCTGGAGGCTGATATGGAGGAGAAAAAGACCCACACCAAGCCCACACCAAAATCTTGAAGTGACACCCAAAGACAGTGTCTTTGTAAGAATTCTAACACGTCCTCCCTTCTTATTGTGGGGATTGGAAAGAAGCCAGGTATCTCTGTGCCCCAGCCTTGCTCATAAGTTGCTTCCCACACTCATGCCTGTCCCATCTGCTGGTGGCTACGGGGTTATTCTCTGTCTCAAAGGTGCCTGGAAAATATCCCCATCCCTGTGAGAGTGTACACTCGGTGTTCAGCCTGTCTGGCTGATAAAACTGCACTGCAACAGGAGTGGGAGGGAGATGGTGCAGGTAGAAAGGAGACTTGCCATTCAGAAAGATTTCAAGGATACCTGAAAGCTACTGACTGGTTTCTAAGATGGGAAGTCCAGTAGCTGTGCACTCTGGGTCAGCAAGGAAACTTTTATATGCAGAATAATAAATAAGGCAGTAGAGTGGGTATTACTGGAAGAGGTTTTTACTATTGCAAACCCCTTAAATATTCATTGTGTAACAAGAACAAAACTCTCTTGCAGATTTGGGACTATCTCCTCATCTTACTGCCCTCATGGCAGGTGGGAGGCCTTTAGGAAACAGCAGCAGCACAGGGGACACAGGTTTCAGCTGTTCACAGGATTCAGGTAAGGACAAGTCTCTCACTCTCTTCATTTGGGCAGAAGATTGCGCTTGGCAGAACTCTCTGGGATAGTCTGCGTTTACACACATAGATGTCTCTTGGTGCATGAATGACATGAACATCTGTTCCAGCTGTTACAACAGAACTGCTGCAGTTGCTTTTTTTCTTCCTCACTCTCAATATATTTATTTGCAAAATGCTGTTTGCAGAATGAGGACCCTGCCTTGATAGCATGTCCTGGGAACAAGACTCACTGCTTTTGTGCCCTTCTCCTTTAGTTTCTGTTGTTCTTTGCAGACTTTCCCTGTATCCACAAGGAACAGAGCAACAAAGTGCTGTGGAGAATGTGCTTCTCTGTTTCCTCTTTTGTAAGAGACCTTTTCTTGTTCATCCTGCAGTGTAAACATAAACACTTGGGATGGTTTCAGCTTACGATTTCTTCACTGCTTAAGATCTCTCAGTTGAAGGTGGTTTGGAAAAGGGAAATTCTGCTGGTCATTTTCCATCTGGGACTGTTGCTATATTTTTCTGGCAGTTAATTCAGCTACCACTCCTTAACTGCACTAGTTACTTTACAGAGTGTTTCTGCTCTAGAGACACCAGAGGGTGATCATCTGACATTTGCTTGGTGTTAGGGGTTTGTTTCTGTTGTAAAGGAAGTCTGTGGAGCTGGGATAATTTTTTGTATTAGTTGTTTTATGCTGGTAGTTTTATGGCTGTTGTGGATATTCTGCAGCTGCATGTGATAAAGGAGAATAGCATCCTGGTAGACCTGTCTGGGTTAAGAGCATGTCGTGTGATCATCTTTTCAGGAGTGGTACCGAGCAGTTTAAACAAATGAACAAACTAAATTGATACTGAATGCTGTTAGAAGTGCTACTGTTGGTGAAGGACAGGGTACAGTGCATAGCCTGGTAATGGATATACAGTGATCCACTGTGAAATGCTGTTTCACTGGTTGCTTTCACTGTGAGGAATTGCAGAGCAGAAAGAAGTCTTAGTCCTTCTTCAATGTTGCCTGCTGCATGCAGTACGTAGTCCTTCAATGTTGCCTGCTGCATGCAGTACATGATCCTGTGGCCTGCGGTGCAGTTGCATCTGTATCTGTCCTGGTAAACAGAAACTGAGCTGTTCATTTGGTGAAAAACAGATTAAGTAGTAGGAGAGGAAAAAAAATCCAAGTGGTGCCATCTGTACACAAAATATGAAGTGAGACCTGAGTCCTCATTGCTAGAAATGTTGCCTTAAGATGAGTTATTCCAAGGACAAAGGTCCACCCTGTAAGAACAAGAGGCTAAGTCGCTTCACTAGCCTCTTTGGAAGGAAAAAAAAAAAGGACTAAACCAGTGCATTTGAAAAAATGCATTAAAATTTCTTCACTAGCCTCTTTTGAAGGAAAAAAGAAAAGGACTGAACTAGTGCATTTGAAAAAATGCATTAAAATTCTGCTCTGTGGAAGAAAATATGACTTCCTGGTGCCAGTTGTCCATTGCGTGCTACATTTCTGAGGAGGATTTGGTACCTTAGGAGATCAGTCTGCCATTTTCAGTAGGCAGCCTCAGACCCAGCTGATTCACAGAACAGCACAGAAAATCTTAAGCTTCTTTGTGACCATGTACTGGGGCAGCATTCGTCCTTTCCTGTGTGCTGGAGGGAGACATATGCTGCAGCACACAAGTTTTGCCTTAAAAGATTTTTCACTTGGCGACATGGCAATGGATTGTCAGCAAAGACTAGACCTGTGGAACAGTATGTTGTTTAGAAGAACATCCCAGTGATGTCTCTCACTTTCTACTAGAGGTACATCCCAGTGATGTCTCTCACTTTCTATAAAGTGGGTGCTGCAACACTTCCTTTAAATTTGAGGATCAAAAACAGTCAAGTGCTTGAAGAGGGATGTGAAGCCACTCTCTGGAGGAGTTACAAAACCTGGAAGGTACTTATGTCACATCAGAGGAGTAAATGGACTGATACTAAAGTGTCACACATTGAGTGTGTGCAAGCTGTGCCTTCCAACAGCAGGTTCCCTGAGAACTTCTTGCTCAGCAGTGTCCTGGTGTGTCCTCAAAATACTTTGCTTCTCCCTTATGCAGCAGAGAGACCAGCCTTGCAAGGCAGGTTTGGGCTGCAGTCTTGCCCTCTGTGTGAAATCACTGCAGAGATGCCAAGATGAATTTCTTTGTGCTTTTTAAACTCTGTTTTGTATTGGAAAGGTGCAAAGCAGATTCAGGGAGGTGAAATCAAAAAAATAAAAATACTCCTGAACTGGAAAAAAAGATTCATCAGACAAAATAATTCCTAACCAGCAAGGAATTTTTTTCCCCATGAAAATACCCTTCGAAAAAGTCAGAGTAGGTTATTAGAGGCAAATTAAATTGAACAGAAAAAATCTCTAGTTCGGATTTGATCCAGGTCTGATTACAAGCACATTTGGCAGCTATGCTTGTCTGTCTCTTGGGTAGTCACTGTTAGCCTCTTGTCTTCATCAGGAAGTGGGGGAAGTTGCCCTCAACTTTATCCTTTATTTACTGAAGGTAAGGTTTCACTTTCTGCTGTCCTTTTGACATTACAAGCTCTGTGGCTGAGAATTTTGGAGCTGCTTGAGCTTTCAGATGGCTAATGAGGAAAGATTTCTGAAGCCTTTGAATGGAAAACTCTGACCTCGTTCTTTTCCTGTGCAGTGTTTAATTTCAAATTTGCTCACAAAAACTGCGTTTAGGCATCTTTTGAAGGCACTGCTATGGGCTGAAAAGGTTTTGCTACTATACTGTATCCCAGTGATCCTGTTTTACTTGAGAACTCTTTCTTTGTTTCAGGCACAGATGCAATGCTTCTTGAAGATTATAGCTCAGATGGCCCTCAGCCCCCACACTGCATCTGTCCTCCCCGAAGGAGGAGTTCAGTGACATTTGAAGATGAAGTAGAGCAAATTAAAGGTGAGTTTATGAGTAAGTATGAAAATGCCCAGAACCAGCTCTCTTGCCTGCTCAGAAAGCCTCTCAAGACCTTCAGAATTGTCTTGAAACATGTCTGACCACTGTTTGCCTTGAGAGAGAGGCCTGACCATTCATGCAGGTACAACGGAAAGCAAGATCAGGTCTTTTCTTACAGTTCTCAAGCAACAACAGACAAGAACAAGAGTTAAAAGTTGGGATTCCCTGCATACATATAATTTATATTGCACAGCAGTATCCTCTCTGCAATTCTATTCATCTTGGTGGCTGTTGGAATCTGTTTTGTGTTCCTCATATTTTGATTGCATTATCCCAGTGTTTGTCATTTGCTGCCTCCTCTCAACTTTGTTACTCACAGACTGAAATTCTTCCATCTACAGATTTTAATGATCTGAATATAATTTTGTTCTATTTTACTTTTTTTGTTTAACTTCTACCTCACTTACTTTCTTGTGTATGTTTCTCAGCAGATGCGAGTGAAAACAGATAAATCACACGCACTTTTTTTCAGTTAACTCACTTACTGATTCTGTGCTAGCAAAGTGTTGCTGTGATCATGGGTAAAATATTGGGCAGTTAATTTAGGCTGATATGAACTTTCTAAACAATGCATGATTTTGGACAGGATAAAAATGAGCAGAATGCCTTTGTGAATCAAGTAATAATAAAACCTGATGTTTATGATTCTGAAATAATGAGAATTCTTTCTATGGAATTTTTTTTAAAATCTTGGCAAAATTTACTTATGTCCTCTTCTCAGCATGATGTGAATATTTCCTTGTACAAATACACTACCATACAATTACCATTATCTTTCGGAGTGGTTACATAGGAGCAGACATTCAATTTTTTGTCTGAGTGAAAGAGGGAGTCTTAGTGCAGAAGTTCCCCAGAGGTTTAGCAATTCTCCCTGGTAAGTGTCAGGGTTTTCAGGATCCCTGAGTCTTTAAATTATTTCAGCAGCCCCACTGAAGAGTTATGTTTGGGACAAACACCTGTGTTGCTCAATGTGTTGGTGGGTAGAGAGGTATATAGATGCTATAGAAACAACTGCACCCACACTGAAGAGCAGGTGTATCCCAGGTAATAAAAGGTTAAGAATAAGTATACTGCTGTTTGCAGCTGCAGTCCTCAACCTCTTCTGACATGGAGAGCCCCACTGCTTCCACACTGGAAGTGGGTTCCACACTGTGGCTGGAACAAATTTAAACCTAAAGACAGCAGACTCCTGATTTTAATCACTACTTGGAAGAAGCCCATAGCTAATCTGTAACCAAAACATCTGGTGTTTGGTCTTAAAAATAGTATAATAATATAATATGACATAGCTCTTAACTGCATTGTTCATATCAATGAAGTGCAAGACCTTAGTCACTGAGAATCCCTGTAAGGCTGCAAGTCATGCTTACAGTAGAGGAAGAACAAATTGAAGGTTCTCTTCCTGTCTCCTGCATGAGTTCTTGCCTGATGCCAGACAATTCCTATTGTCCCTAATCCAGGACTCTAGGTATTAATCAGAAATCAGGCTGCAACTGCAGTTGGGTACAAGTTCAGACCAATAAAATTCAGTGTGCACAGGTTGAGATTCAGAAAATCATTCAATATACACTTACTTAAGTTAAATATGTAGAAGCATTTTGTTTCATCTGATCTTTTTTTTTCACTTGAATTGGAGGTAAGCTCTCTGCTTGACCTGTCGAGGTCACTCTCAAACTTTGTGTTCATGGAATGGTTTAGGGAGCCTGAATATTGTTGGAAAACGCACTCTGTAGGGCAGTTATTTTGCAGGTCATACCTTTACAAAAGGATCAGTATTAGTCTTAAAGCATTTACACAGCCATGCTCATCAACTGTTATATTCCTTTGTTCTTTGGTTTTTTTCCCCAGAAGCTGCGAAGAATTCTGTTCTTCATGTAAAAGCCGAAGTCCATAAATCTCTGGACAGTTATGCAACCAGCCTAGCAAGAGCTATTGAAGCTGATGTGAAAATCAGCTTGTTTGGGGAAGATGCTTTACCAGGAGCTCTGTTCCCTGCACGGACTCTGCCAGGAAGCAGTATGAACACACGCCGTGGTGCCAGGCCCCATGCCAGCCAAAGACTTAAGCTGCAGAGCATTGATGAAGGGAATATTTGACAGGAGCACCGGAGTAAGAAAACAGAATGAAACCACTAAGTGGGACCTACTGCAGCTGTCAGTGTTTCAACAGGACCAGGATACCTTGTTGGGGTGTTTTCAGTGTTTTTTCAACACTTGAAAAGCAGCTGAATTCTGGTACTTGCATCAGCATTTTACAGCAGGGTTTGTTTACTGTTTAGGGTGCTATTGACTCTTTTGTGCCATGTCTTTATCACACAGTGCATAGGAATGCAGGGTTTGGTTTCACTGACCAGGTCATTAGTCTGTTGAATCTTGGGTCCATTATTTGCCAAAGCTGATACAGGAACAAAACAGGAAAAATATGAGCAGTGTTTAATTCATTGTTGCATCCATCCTCTTCTGTCCACCAGGATAATCAGTTGATACTTGATAGCTGGGGTGCTCTGACAGGAGCTTGTGCATTGGATACTACATACAGCCTTGCTGTCACAGACTCCCAGATGAGGAGCATGGGCTTCACTAAGGGTAAAACCTGAATTTTTCAGAGAGCTCATAGAGATTCTGGTCCTACTAACCTTTGCTGGGGGATATTTCTGGCTGTTCAGCCATCAGAATGCTAGATCTGACACTGGATTGTACATTGCTTCTGCAGTATGGGACACCAGCTTCTCTGGATGTAATGGGTGGGAGCAGACCTGTGCCAGAAACATCACAGAGGTGGTATTTGGCAAATCATTAATGCAGAATTCTTAGCTTCTCTGAGAAATCCAGTTCACATCCCTGGTTTTGCTTTTACTAAAAGGGTACTCTATGGCTGTGATAAGCTTGACTGTATATAAATATTACCACTTCGTATTCAGGATTCATCTTTTCTAGAGAGAAAAGAGTTGACTTGCTGGGTTTTTTTAATCATGAGGGAATGTAGCATTTAAGCTATAGTTACCTCAGTGCTTCTATGTTTTGGAGTATGAATTCATTAATCTCAAAATTAAGAGCATTTGGCACTTACATTGCACTTTGCATGTTCTTAAGCACTGTAGAGACATTACCTTGTTAGGCCTTTGTGAGAGGGTTGATCAGCCCTGCTTGCCAAAGAAGGGGAACCTCTGCAGTCAAGCTGTTGGCAATGAAACAAGCTGCAAAGGTGGAAAGGTTTGTTGAGAAAAGAGGGATGAGGTGGATCATGCAAGTATATCCAGCTTGAGGAACCTTTCTGTGCCTTCCTGGGCTGCCCTCTTCCTTACTTTGGGGGTCATTATAGCCCTGCCTTACTGCCTGTTTCAAAGAGAGGGAGACATAAGCGAGCAGGATAATTCCTCAGGGGTGAGTGTCAGTAGCAAATGAACTTAAGGACCAAGGATTTGCATTTGTCTATCCTGTGTCTGCTCCCCTGTGCCTCCATCTTTTCCCCAGAAGTGGTTTGTATGAGGTTTTGCTGGAGATGTTTGGAAATCTTTCCCTGTGAGTGCAAACTGGGTGTACACTTGCTAAGTTATGGCTGTGTATGACTTACTCAGAGGCACAGAAGCAAAGAGTTGTGAGACAGAGCCTGGGTCCAGTACTGTATTTAGACATCCTAGTTGTCTGTGTTCCCAACTCAGAAATGTAATTCAGCACAAGCTTATGTCCATCTCTGGACAAAGCAACTTGACTTTATGAACTAGCCTGAATCCCATTACATTCCCATGTGAAATATAACTGCATGCTTCAAATTCAGTACATGGTTTGCTGATTTAAGAACAGGCTGTCAGAGCAAGAACACTTAAGCTCTAGTAAGATGGCTCTTTGCATAATGCAGGAATAAAATAACTAGTAATAATGAGGCTATCACTCCTGTATTTTTTGCTTCTAGCCTGTTAGATAAATTGGCACCTGTGGGCATTCCTTAGTAAAAAAACAAAATCAGGATACTTGCCAGGCAGTGCCCTGCAGTGAGGTCATTATTGCTGTCGTTAACATTACAATCACAGTTGCTTGCAATACTCAGCACTCCTTGAGATGTACACTTGCCTGCATCCCTTTTACTCCGTATTCCTGCTTCCAGACATGTTGAGCAAAGTCCTTGCTGAATGTGAAAAGGGCACACTGAGTATGTATGGATCGTGGTGGTGTTGGTGCTAGTCTGTGCTCAGGAGGAAAAATTCCAAGGCACATGTGAAAGTACAGAACTGTCAGTATTGTGTAAAAAGCACGTTTTTCACACAGGTACTGAGCCAAATTCAGCCTTCAGGCAGGTCGGGGGGGGTTGGTTGCAAAAGTTTACACCGTGGCTGGGTTTGGCTGCCAGTGTTAATGTCACTAATCCGTTATTCCGTGTAAATGTTGTTAATATTTTTGTACACGCCTTATAACCCTTCCATAACTCTACCCTCAGCGTTCTCTCACTTGAGCTGTCATTAACAAAACCAGTCATTAAGAAACGCACCCTTTTTGTAAAACTGTATTCCCCATCTTAAATACAAAAGAGAAGAAAACCAAACTATTTCCAGCATCCTGATGGTGACGCTTGTTTAGATTACTGTTTAGACTACTGTTATTTCGACTAAAATTTGCCTCTAAATATTTTGCTGTCAAGCTCGCAGGATGCCCCGGCAGCCGCGGGGCCGGGAGCAGCGTCCTGC